TTTGATGTACTACGTATTAAATTCTATTTATGTATGAAGTTAGCACTTTGGGCGTTTTTTAGGCTTAAAAACAGCATATGGACTGTTTTAACTTTATGTTATGATCTGCAATTGTTCTTTTAATTTCATGCATACCCACCACTTTCGTAAAATAATTAATTTTCATCAGATGCTTTTATTCTTAGCTTCACTAGTAAAACATTCTGGACTTTAATCTATAGATTATAATGATCGATGGCTTTTTTGTAGTGATTATACTACCTCCGTCCCAAATTGATTTGCAAATTTGACTTTTCTTGGTCAAACAGTTTAATTTTATTCACTTAATTAGGATGCCAATTTTTAATTATATTTTAATTTGAAGTTTATAACTTTGAAGAGATTTTAATGTACTTTATGAATATGTAAATTTTAATTATTAAAAATTGAATTAATTATCCATAACGAGCATTGACTTTTATTATTGGTTGACCAAAAAATATTGACTTTGCAAAACAAATTGGGATGGAGTATAAACTAAAAGTCTAAAACCACACTGGAACGTTTGGATCTCGGAATCAGCTGGAATATTGGTCCGGTTCTAATTGAGCCGGCGAGTCGGAATTCCTTATAGCTCACATGCAGTGACAAATTTTATGGGCTGCTCATAGAGAAGATACTCTGTTTTGTTTATTTGTTTGTTCTCTAGTCTCCACCATAAAGTAAACTTATAAAAATGTTAAATCTAAATATGTTAATTTATTTGTGATGAATTTGAACCTTTAACCAGGACTACTGGACTAATGTCCCCAGTAATAAGGATTTCTTTTCCTCATGTAGTCATGTGTATGTGATCGATCATCCGATCATATTGGTCCAATCAATCATATCTAACTTGTAATGCCTGCTAATAGCGTTATATCTAAGCGAATAGGGTCAAATAAGACCTTTTATTATTATAGAATCGTTATATATGGCCACGTACTAACTAGAATGTCATATAAATATAAATACGTTAGTTATATAAAGCAATTGGATGAGTCCTAATTAACTTTTGACAACAGCTTAATCTCGGTTTTAGTTTATATTTGACTATCTTTTAGAATCGATTATAAGGCTTATATGGGATTTTTAGCCACGATTGACAAAATACATGACAAAAATAATGACATGTAAGCTAAAACCGAGATTATGAGGTTGGTCAACAACTCATTATAACTCATCCGATTGTTTTTTATAAGTAGACATATTTATATGACTTTATGTGATGACTCCACCATAATAGAAGGTCTTATTTAACCATTTTCTCTATATCTGAATTGAAATTAGATCAAATTGTATAAGATCAGAACAAATAAGATTAAACCCAAAAATCATGCACAAGTCCGAAACCATACTTTCATCATTAAAAGAAAAGTAAGCTACTTAAAAACAGATGGAGAAAACCTCCAATTTTCGTCTTCCTCTATCTCATATTCTCATGATATAGTCGTTGAGTGCTAAACTATGTTTTGTACCAATTGGCGAAAAGCCGAAAACAGGTCGTAAGTGCAATAACCGCATGTGAAGCCATATCTTGACTAAGTATAAAATGCAGTTTGCATTGTGACATTGAACTTGCCTTCCCGCACAAATAATTATAAAATGTTAGAAAGTCATTTTAGTTGATACTACTCTTTCGAAACTAAGTGCTATCTTATTTTTAATTACTAGAATATGGACGTTTGTATTCAAATAACGAATGCATATACTAGTATATTCTTTTATCTTTGAGTTTTTTTTCGGATTAATGTTAATTAATTAATTAATTATGAAAATAGGGTTGGGTTAAAAGTATTTACCAAAATACTGCTGGTTTAACCAGGGTCGGGGAAAGTCGCCCAACGGTTGGGCGACTTATAAGTCGCCAAACGGTTTGGCGACTTATAAGTCGCCCAACCGTTGGGCGACTTTCACTTTAAGTAAAAAACGGGGTCGGTTCAGCAAAACAGAAGACTTTCATCCCCAAATTCAAAGCAGCAGCAGCGGGCGACCAAGGACGAAGGACGAACGACGAACGACGACCGAGGCATTTACAACCCCGGCGAACCTCCATCTCCGGCGACCCCACTCCGGCAAACCTCCATCTTCATCTTCAACACCCTCCTTCTTTCTTCTAGGTAAATCAAACTCCATTTCATCTAATTTTGAACCTTAGGGTTTTGAATGTTCAAATTTTCGAATTTTTGGATTATGAATTGATTGTGAATTCAGTTGTTGTGAAATGTGGATATGTATGAAATGTTGAAATTTGATTTTAAATTGATTGTAAATTTCAATGTGTATTTTGACATTTGGGCATTTCGGTAGACTTGAATGTAGCTAAATTTGGCTATTGAAAGTTAGACGTGAATGTAGATATCAAAATTTTGGTAGTTTCATATTCAAATGTGAATTGTTTTTGAATTTTGACTTTTGGATATATTACAATTTTGGTAGTTTTTTCTATTGAAAATTTGATTGTGTTTAAAGTGTGTATATTGATGCCTACTCATGAATGTTGGACAATGAATTGTTATTAGAATATGGATTTCTCAAGCTTCCCAATCATATGTCATTGGGGAGGAAACTATTATGAGGATGCCGGCCAAATATGCCTTGAAGGTGGCTGAACCAGCTTTGTCATGGTTTCTCGTGGCGCTTGCATGCTGGAGATCCTTCAAAAAATACATGCAGCCACAATGATTCATCCTAGCCGTTCTTTGCGGTTGAAAATGAAATTTCCCATGAACGGGGGAAAGTACATGCTTATGCCCCTCATTGATGGCTAGCTATAACAAATATGTGGGGCATAACTCAGATGGAAGATATGTCGACGCTTGAGCTATACATTGAGGAATCCTGTGACTCCTATGGTACTTAATCAACATCAAATGTTGTCGTATCTACGTATGATGTCAATGCAGGGGTGAATGCAGGGAACTCCTCAAAGGCTCCTGTACTGAACATGGTTGGTTATACAGGAAGATGGTAGGTATTTGCACAACGGTGCATCATTTGTGGATGGGCAGGGAACTGATGATGATGCTGACGAGAACATCAATGGTGATGACATGACAGAATCTGATGAAGATGATGGTGATACTGTCACGAAAACAGCCCCGTCTAGCCATTTTACTAGAATTTATGATCTCCCTGAAGGGTTTACTGATGCGTGGATGAGTGGATCAGGGGAGAAAAGGTTTACCCCCGATGGTGAGTTTGAGGTCGGTCAATAGTTTGACAACAAAGAACAAGTCATCAATATGGTGAGCTTGTATTCTATCAAACGGAACCAATTTTATCGGGTGATAGAGTCCGATAAATATAAGTGGGTGGCACAATGCAAAAGGAAGAAAGAATGTGATTGCCCCTGGAGAATACGCGCCACAAAGAACAAAGGCAACCTTGACACCTTCACAATTGTGCGTTATTCTAGACCTCATGCTGCTACGTGTGTTGGCAACACCGACACTACCGATCACGTGGCTTTGACTTCAGATTTCATCTCTAAAGATGTGATAGACATTGTTCGCACTGATCCTTCTCTTAAAGTGCATACTATCATTGAGATGCTGAAGGAAAAATATAGGTATACGGTATCATACCGGAGAACATGGATGGGGAACCAAAAGGCCATAGCAAAAATATTTGGCGGTTGGGAGAAGTCGTATTCTGAATTGCCCCGTTTCATGATAGCGCTCCAACATTCAAATCCTGGAACTATTGTTCAGTGGTACCCACCCCCCAATACTCCCACAGGTTATATGCAGTTTCAAAGAGTTTTTTGGGCATTCAAGGCATCAATACATGGTTTTAAGCATTGTCGACCCGTACTTACAATTGATGGGACACACTTGTATGGAAAGTACAAGGGTACATTGCTCGTGGCCATGGGTTGTGATGCGAACAACCAAATATTTCCAATGGCCTTTGCAATTGTTGAATCTGAGAATGGAGATAGTTGGCCATGGTTTATGGCATGTATTAGGCAGTTTGTGACTAACAGGGAGTTGTGTGTCATTTCAGATAGACATGGAGGTATTGTCAGGGCAATGAATGAGGTGGGCAGTACTTGTCGACAGGCACTGCTTGTCGACAGTGGGTGGATGAGTGTGAGCGGTTGTTAGGTATCCGCCCCGTTCTTAGGACTGACCTTCAGGGGTCATCTCTGAGGATGCCATGGTTGAGGGAGCACTTCCAGGTGCTTCCTCCCGACGCTGATGAGGTGATGATCCAGCAGCATGCTCGGGCTTATATATTGATGATGATGGGAGCCTCCATTTTCGCTGACAAGAGCGGAAATGAGGTTCAGGTGCTGCACTTGCCTTTGCTGGAGAGGTTTGATGTAGCAGCACAGTTCAGCTGGGGTAGTGCCACCCTGGCTTACCTGTACAGACAGCTTTGTCGCGGCTGCCAGAGAGGGAGCACAGAGCTTGGGGGATTTTTGCTACTCCTCCAGATTTGGTCATGGGAGTATATCCACATTGGCCGTCCCATTATAGTCGGATATCATGGCATTGATGGACAGCCACTGCCTGATGAGCCTCCACGTCTTCTAGGACCTCATCATGTACGGGGCGAGGACCCTCTAGGCCGTCGGTATGTTTTCAATCGTTTGTATTAATGTGAGTATATGTTGTGTGTTGAGTATATGTTGTGTGTAAATACATTAATAATATCCATATTAATGATACTGTTACATGAATGGTTAGATGGCTATATGCTGGTCTATCTCGCATGTCATCCGCTACTGGCTCGGTGTGTACAGGGATGCATTTGATCGGATGTCTGAGGACCAGGTATGGTGTGCGTAGTATAACATTAACTATTATATGTAAAGAAAATCTCCTAATTTTGTATCTTTATGAAACAGATTACATGGATGCCGTTTACACATGAGATGTTAGCAGAGTTGTCCCCAGCTGGACGAGAGCATACTCACATATGGCGAGCACGTGTGCCGTTGATATGTTTTGACATTGTTGAGCTTCATTTGCCTGATAGAGTCTTGCGACAGTTTGGGTTTGAGCAGGTGGTTCTACGGCCTATCGACACTTATGTTGAGCTGCATAGGCTGGATAGGCGTGGGAAGCATACAGAGGATTGGGCACTCAGACATGTCCGATATGTGACTATGTGGGAAAGGAGAGCTGAGCTAGTTGTGGCCAGGACACCGACATATGTGCCATCTGTTTCAGGAGACTACATGGGATGGTATTACAGCATCACTCGTTTGTTTGTGTCTCCTTCGTTCAGACTCCCTACTCATCATTATCAGCCTAGTTCCTTAGCTTTGCATCTTACGGTGAGTATATTACTAATTAGTAAAGTAAGTCATTTTATTTATGTAATATTTGTATATATTTCAATGTAAATGTAATTGTGTTTCACATTTCAGACACGAGCTTTGCAGCGCATACATCAGCGGGCTACTGCCACAGTGACTGATAGTCCTGATGTGGACTTGTATGGACAGGCTCTCACAGGCATTGCGTCCTTGTGTTCAGATGTGTTGGGGCGAGTCGACTACGGCCATCTTATACACATGCCCCCATCTCAGGAGATGCCATCCACGTCTAGTGCAGCGGCGGCTTCATCATCCCAGACGCAGCATGAGAGAGTGGTTCTTCAACCACGACAACGGCGTAGGCGTAGACAGGAGCAGCAACATCTCCATGACGAAGCTGACGATGGGAACTTGTAGTCTGTCTTTTGTATTGTAGTTTTTCTTATGCAGTAGATGTTGTAGGAACAATTTACAATATTTGACGTATTTTCTCTTGTAAAGTCTTGTATGTTGTCTTGATGTGTTCGAGTCTGAATATTAGATGATTACTTGTTATGAATATTGAATGATTGTACTTTGTTATACCGGTTATTTTGAAGGTGTTTTTTATGTTGATGAGAGGGGGTGTTATGTATGTGATTGAGAATACGTATGTTGTATGTTTAATAATGTGTTTTATAATGTGTTGTATCTGGCTCGTAACACTTAAACAGGAGAAGAGAGACCTTAATTATAGCAAACAGATGAGTCCGGGTTGAATTGGGGCGAAAAATCTGCTGAAATGCTGTTTTTGGACCTAGGCACGATCGTGCGTCCCAGGGTACGCACGATCGTGCCTGGCTGGCAGTAGCTGCTCGCCTTCAACCATATTTTAGGGGTAAGTCGCCCAACGGTTGGGCGACTTATAAGTCGCCAAACGGTTTGGCGACTTATAAGTCGCCCAACCGTTGGGCGACTTACCCCTGACCGTGGTTAAGGCCCAGCAGTATATTGGTAAATACTTTTTTTTCAGCATTATTTTCGTAATTAATTAATTAATTAACCTTAATTAGAAAAAAAACTCTTTATCTTTACGTACTTTTTGTGAAATTTCCTCGTGCAACATGTGGGCCGAAAGGCTAGACGTTTGGTAATGGTTCCTCCAAGTATATGAAAAAAAATCCATAGAATCGTCTAATCTGAGGCACTATTGGCAAGGTTTATTGAAAAAATGTGTCATAATTTAGTCAATTCACCCGGGTAGAGTCGTGCCTTATGTAAGGTGGACCGCAGGGCCCCAAAAATTTGTAAAAATTAGGGGCCCAAAAATATATATATTAGTATTATATATTTATATTTTCTAGTTATTTTTTATTTCCACCCTTGGCAATACAAATAAAAACTAGTTCGACTTCTATTTCTAGGTTTCTATGCTTCAAGTTTTTTTTTTTTCCTTTTTTTAACTCCAGGGGGTCTGGGGGAGGGTCCGGGGGCCGGGGGGAGACTGGAGTAATCAGGGCTGAAACTCATGCCATTGAGTTTCAAACCCTTGTGTCTAGCGGGTTTCAAACTCGAGACCTCCCATTAGGCACGGTAACCTCACAACCAGCCGGGCTTCAAGTTTTATAGTTAATTCTATCAGTTTATGTTTTTTTATTTGCTTATTTAGTTATTTGTTTGTATTTTCAGAAATTTTCTAACTTTATATTGATTTGCTAAATGTTAATGTGATGTATAATTAATTTGTCATGTGTGAATGTCAAATTAGCTAATTTGTAAATACTACTCCATAGTTGATTCTTGCATGTTTTTTATTATTTAGTGTTATCAATATTGCAATTATGGAATTCTCAATTCTCAACTAATTAATTTAATTGCTTTCTATTTTATAGAGAAAATTACCAATATACAAAGAATATTGTTAAGGATTCCATTAAATTATGTATTTATTTATTGTTTAGAGTCATTCCTCTTTGTCTCAATTTCAAAAGAGGAAAATATAATCACATGAAAATATAATCCCGAAAATGGAGAAAAAGAAACCGCGACCTGCGGGACATGAACGTCGTCCGAAAATCTATCTTATAAATATAAGATTTAATGCACAAACACTCGTTCGTTAGCCACCACATCCTGAGAAACTATGGTTGCAATGCTTTGGCTATTTTCTGCTCCATCTTCTTTATGTTTTTCTTTAGCTATTTTAATTAATTTATTTAATTAATTTTCTTTGTTTTTCCGAATTCACACCAACAATTAGCGATGGGAGTTGCTCATAAATTTATTGCTCATAAATGTTTGAAATTTATTTCCCTGTTTGCACATAAAATTTTCCAATAAATGCTTACTTCCTTTCACTGCTATCTATTCCAATCTTGGTTTGTCATGGGTAAAACGTTGGTACAAAGAATGCAATGTGTTCAATTCACTTTCGTGAATTTTGTCTACTTTTGGTCCCATTCAAAATCATTGAAAGTGATGATACCTGATAACTCACATATAGCGTGCATGTACAATCACAAGCAGTGACTGCTTGGCATCTAGTTTTTCAATAGAGTCATTGTTTTTGTAATCTTTGTCAAAACCTCCAAAAAAAATTGACATCATAAAGCAGGAGTGGGCATGGACCGATTAGGAAGGATAATGCAGAATGAAAGAGAATCTGCGGTTACATTAAATGTATCGGTCCGGTCCGGATATTGCAATTTTCACAATAGGAACAGGCATTACCGACCCATTTGAAACGGGTCAATCCGATCCGGGTTCTTCGGTTCATGTTTCCATGTCTAAAAACTAATAAAACTTAATTATCAAAAGTACCAATAATCGATAACAATTAACATAGTGCACTCGCAAGTTACAAAACAACAATATACTCATCAATACATTTCACTTTCAAGTTCCATGGGACCCAACTCATTTGACAAATCCAATAATCCAAATACACACAATAGATACTTCGAACCCAAAAAATTGATCAGGTAGATGCTATTTACCAATGACAACATCAAGATCTTTGATATTGTAAATCTCTAATTTGATCCTTTACCGTTTGCATCTTCCATCTAATTTATTATGAATATTATTAAATTAAATTCAAAAGATACAAATATGATTTATTTTTAAAAATTTCAAAAATGTGACATATGCAATGACTAGTTACCGGTGACTCATCATCTACTAGTGACTTGTGACTCTGAAATACATTTTAGTGACTCTTGTCCAGTTAGGATGTTTTTACTTAGACTGTAATTTGTCCCAGACCAGATCAGACCAGACCAAACCAGACTTGGATAGTTATAAAAATACAAAGAAATCAGACCAGACCAGCAAATTACAGTCCAAGTAAAAAAACATCCTTACTCATACACAATGACTAGTTATAAATTTCTCCAAAACATAACTAGTCATAATTTTGTTCGATGAAACTATGTTAATAATATACATGCCATTTTTTCTATTTTAAATACTTAGAAGGAGATACAAATTACAAATACAAGCAAAATATGCATTTTCTTTGGATGTGATCTTATATAAGTCGGCAGTACTCCATACGCAATGGCTGATACGATGATAGAACGAGGGCCAAGGTATTGGGTTATCGTTTGTGTCTGAAACATTAAATTGCTAGCCTAAAGGAGCAAACACACTAGAGATCTAATGGGCTAAGTTGAGAGGGGCCCAACACAGAAATTAATACTCCGTATATCCAATTATCCATATACCACTTACATCTTATATATAACGGGCCGGAGTGGGTACCCGACACTAATATTTTGGAACCGGTCCGGCTTCAAAAAAATTATACCCAACCCTACTTGGACCGCTTTCTAGCAACAAAGAATTAAATAGGCCCGTTTTGGACCCGAACATTCATTAACCAGATCAGACTGTGGTTCCAGACTTCCAATACCCGTTTGCCCACCCCTACAATTTCCCTATGAAGACTAATTTTAACCATGAGTCTATGAGCCCGTTTGCTAGTAAGAAAATCGGTTGTTTTGGCTGATTCTGCAGAAATTTTTGAAGTTCTGGCTGAAGTGGCTGCATTGGCTGATTCTGCTGATTTAAGAAAAAAATATTTTTGAAATATATTTTATTAATAAAATAAAGAAAAAATTATATGTAAAAAAGGTTAAAATGGTCATCTACAGGAACTTCAGCCAATACAGTTAGAAAAGTAACTTCAACCTTACTTTTTCTGCTTATTACACAATTCAACGCACGAAAACAAAAATTACGTGTTTGGTGAAAAAGTTGGCTGATAAGTCTGATAAGCCGAAAAACAGTGTTGCCAAACAGCCTTTATGTCTATACCAGGTTAGTAAATTGTTATATTCATTTCGAACCTTTCAATTTTATATCTCATCGTATTTTAGTCTTAGGGAGTGTTTGCAATTGCTTCAACTTTAAAAAAGTGATTTTTTAAAGTAATTTTGGGAAAAGTGATTAATAGTAAAAGTTGGTAGTGTTTGAGAAAAAAGTGATTCTGAAAAAGTAAAAGGTGGTAATGTTTGGTAAAATAAGTACTTTTTGTGTAATAGAAAAAGTGAGAAGCAGTTTAAAGCACCCTTCTACCTGCTTCCAGCTTTTAGCTTTTAAGTGATTAATTTAAGCAGAAGCTGTCATTTGAAAACACTCTTTTCAACTTTTTTTAAGCCAAAAGCTGAAAAGCGCTTTTTTGAAGCAAACCCAAACACTCCTTTAGATTATGAGCAAATGGAGTTTGGCCTGGTCATATGTGCTCGTGGAAATGGGCCTTAGCGGCAATTTCCTCTAGGCGTCCTAATTCATTTAGGGTCTGTTTGCAATAACTTCTACTTTTAAAAAAATGCTTTTTTAATGAAATGGGGAGAAATGATTAAATAAAAGTTGATAGTGTTTGAGAAAAAAGTGATTTTGAAAAGTAAAAGTGGGTAGTGTTTGGTAAAATAAGTGTTTTTTGTGTAATAGAAAAAGTAAAAACACTTTTGACGTGAAAGTCGAGAAAAATAAAAGTTGTAGTGTTTAGAAAAATAAGTGTTTTTTAAAGCCAGAAGTGTTTTTTTAAAAGCAGTGCAAACCAACCCCAGAATTTCCACAAATTAACTGTTAGGATCAGTCGCTTAACGGCAGAAGTCTTCTATCTCGTCTATTCCAGTGTTAGCATTTGCCTTTCAACACTTGTAATGTGGAGTTCTGCACTGATTCGCTGCAGCTGAATAGTACCTAGTACTAGTATAGGATTAGTATCAGGTTGTAGGGTTTCAGGCTACATTCCCAGATCTAAATGGCGACAAAAGAGGCAAAAGGAACGGCGTCAATGGATCTTCCGGCGACGACGTCAACGGCGACTCTGCAATCGGCCTTCAAGTCACTGAAGCTGAAGACGAAGCAGAAGGAGTTGCTGCTTCGGGTGACGATCTTGTGTTTGGTGTATGTCCTGGCATTCA